GTGCGAGGAGCTCTGGGAATGTCAAGGGTGTGTTTTGGGTTCTTGTAGTGTTATAGTGGTAATGGGGCCCCCGGTATGTGCCCAAAAAGGAAAGGCCCGTAAACCCCGACATCCCCCCCACAGTCCACAGGGTTGGCTATAAAACCCCCGTGAGGGGGTTTTAAATTGGGGGAAAAATTCAGCTGTGGCCCCCTGCAGTAACGCCCCCGGGGCCGTGTGCCCAAAAAAACCCCGCAAAACCGGGGGAGTCTTGGGCAAAATTCGGGACAGTCAGGGTTTTTTTTGTAGCCCAAAACGACATTTTAACCCCATCCCGAATTTAAATGCCTCCCCCCAAGAGGGTGCTGTTTTTCCCCTCAGGCCCTAAATGTTCCCCTGTAGGAAACCTTTAGGGTGTGATTTGGTACCCGAGGGGTTTTTCCATCGGGTGTTGTTTCCTGAAATTTGGGGACTGAGTCCCCCCGCTTGAGAACCTGCCCCAAAATTTTTAAGGGTCCATGTTCCTTTTCGGTCAGAAAGCACACTCTCAGGAGGTACTGACCACTGCCGGGAAAGAATCTGTTGTTCCCTGGATTGAAATTGTGTTTCCCAAAAAAATCTGTGAACACCTTGATGAGTCCCACGAGAAACCCCCCCCTGGTGAGGGCCCCCGCTTTGGGGTTGGGGGCGAAAGAGTGGATATTATCTGGGTTTTTTTTGGTCTGTAGGGAATGCCGGGGTTGGGTTTCTTTATTGTATGCACCGTGGTTGTTTTCTGTATACCAGGTTGGGGAGCCGGGGGTCTCCTGGTTTAGGTGCCCGTTTAGTCTGCAAAGTGCCCGTGCCCGGGAAGGAGTGCCTGCCTTTTTCGGCTATGGCTGGGGGGGGGGCTTTGTTTATGCCCCCTGATCGCATTTACCCGATGCAACCCCGTTGCGGGCCCCCTGTTCCTTTGTTTCTGTTTCTTTGTTGGGGGTAGGGGTGCAGGGGGTTTTTTGACCTTGGGTGCCTGTTGAGGTTTAGGGGTTGGGGAAATTCCCCCCTTTGGGCCCCCCTTTCCCTTTTTGGGTTTGCTGCTGGAAAATTGCGGGGGGGCAGGGTTTTCTGAACCCCTCGTTTTCTGAGAGTGATGATCCGTCGGGAGCCCGTTGCCGAGTTTTTTGGGGTCTTCCAGACTTTTTGAATTCTGGGGAGCCCCTCGGGGCATCGGGATTCCAGGGCATGGGGTTTCTGCCTGCAGTTCGGGCATTGGGGGAGTGGGTGGCGGGTGCTTTTTTCCCGCTTTGGGGTTTCATTTTTCCCCGGTAGGGTGGGGGCTGGCGAGGGCAAACCCCAGATTAAATCTTTTGGAAAAGAGTTGGCCCCCCAGGGGTCCATTAAAAGTGGGCACTTGAAAACAGCGAATGGTTCTGCTGTGAAGGGGGCCTGACATCAGTAAATGCCCCAAGAACCCGAGGTCCAGCTGGGATGGCAGTGGGCCCACATCTGAATGAGGACCCGCCCGGGGTTTGGGGCATTGCCTGCCGTTTTGCCTTGAACGGGTTTAGGGTGACACCAAAACTGGGGGGAGCTGATACTGCCTCGATGGGTTCCCTCAGCGGGGTTTTGCACACTAACCCTTGGTGACTTCTGCCGAGAGTTCCGTTTCCCCCAGGGTTTAAAAGAGCGGGCGGGCTTTCCCTGACTCTCTTCAAGGTGGTATACATTTCCCTTTTTGAGAGGGGGGGGGGTCAATATTTGGTTTCTCCCCAAGTTGAAAAAATTTTTTGAAAAACAGGTTGTGTCGTGGGTTTCCCGGTATTTAAACAACCCCCTAGTGAGTTCTGTGGGCCCCGTAAGACTTCACCTTTTAATTTTCCAGTCCCGGGTTTAGCTGGGTTTTAGCTTTTGACTTGGAATGGGCGGTTTTTGTTGTTGTCCAAAAGTGATCCTTTCCCCCTTGGTTTTCCCGGGGAGTTTGGGGGGTTTTTTTTTCCGCAAATTTTTATTGTCGTTGGCTCCATGGTTGGGACTGTCAGATCTGCTACAATGTGAGCAGGATCTTCCTCTTCTCTCGCAACTTCTTCGCTAAAATTTCGCCCCACATTTCCAAATCTGAGTCCTCCGTCGTGTTCATCGAGCATCGTGACCTCTTCTTTTCGGCAGAAGCCATGTGCCTATCTTGTGATAAGGTAGTGAACTCCGTGAACTGTGACGACATCTACAAGACCTTCTTCACAGCTGCTGCAACTAACCCATCTCTTTGGGAAGGACCTACTTCCACTGGGGAATCCCGCCTACCAGTGACTTTGCCCTCGTCTGCTGCCTGTCCCTATCCACTGACGCCTATATAACCGCCAGTCTTCTTGTCTTTGCTCCAGATTCTCCTCCACCACGATGCTGTGAACACTAACTCCAAGGCCGAGGGACTGATTACCTCATCTTTTGTATATAGTTCTACTGTCTTCCTATTATGTCCTAGAATCTGTATTGATAAAGCCACTGGATGGCGAAACGTCTACAATAAAGATATCCAGATGTTGCACATGTGTCTTAACTTTCATATTGTCGGTATTTCATACCTTTCTTGCACAACTTGTCAGACACTGCAACATCATGGAATCTTGGTTCAGAGGACATCTACAAGACCTTCTTCACAGCTGCTGCAACTAACCCATCTCTTTGGGAAGGACCTACTTCCACTGGGGAATCCCACCTACCAGTGACTTTGCCCTCGTCTGCTGCCCGTCCCTATCCACTTACGCCTATATAACCGCCAGTCTTCTTGTCTTTGCTCCAGATTCTCCTCCACCACGATGCTGTGAACACTAACTCCAAGGCCGAGGGACTGATTACCTCATCTTTTGTATATAGTTCTACTGTCTTCCTATTATGTCCTAGAATCTGTATTGATAAAGCCACTGGATGGCGAAACGTCTACAATAAAGATATCCAGATGTTGCACATGTGTCTTAACTTTCATATTGTCGGTATTTTATACCTTTCTTGCACAACTTGTCAGACTGCAACATCATGGAATCTTGGTTCAGAGGACATCTACAAGACCTTCTTCACAGCTGCTGCAACTAACCCATCTCTTTGGGAAGGACCTACTTCCACTGGGGAATCCCGCCTACTAGTGACTTTGCCCTCGTCTGCTGCCCGTCCCTATCCACTGACGCCTATATAACCGCCAGTCTTCTTGTCTTTGCTCCAGATTCTCCTCCACCACGATGCTGTGAACACTAACTCCAAGGCCGAGGGACTGATTACCTCATCTTTTGTATATAGTTCTACTGTCTTCCTATTATGTCCTAGAATCTGTATTGATAAAGCCACTGGATGGCGAAACGTCTACAATAAAGATATCCAGATGTTGCACATGTGTCTTAACTTTCATACTGTCGGTATTTTATACCTTTCTTGCACAGTCCATACGTAGGAGAAACTTGAAGAACAGGAGGAGAATGAGGTAATCAGTCCCTCAACCTTGAGTCGATGTGTTCAGTCCATCAATCTTGAATAGAATACGGCATATGAGCGGAGAAACAGCTTATAAACCGTATGGCAGGAGAGGTGCAGCAGTCATAGGTAGTGTCACATTTGTTCATCGTGGAAGTAGGTCGTGCCCAAGAATTAGGCAAGCGAAGAATTCCTAAGTATTAAGATCCCATGAAGTTGCAGTGTCTGACAGGTTTGTAGATGAATGGTTCAGAGAACCGACATGTTGATAAATTAGACACATGTGCAACTCTTGGGTATCTTTATTGAGGAAACGTTTCGCTTGCCTAATTCTTTTGCATCTTGTCGGTATTGTATACCTGTCTTGCACAACTTGTCAGGCACTGCAACATCATGGTATCTTGATTCAGAGGACATCTACAAGACCTTCTTCACGACTTCTACAACTAGCCCATCAATTTGGGAAGGACCTACTTCCACTGGGGAATCCCGCTTACCAGTGACTATGCCCTCGTCTGCTACACGTCTCTCTTCACTGACGCCTATATAAGCGCCAGTCTCCTTACCTGTGCTTCAGAATCTCTACAACCACGGTGTTGTAAACACCACCTCCAAGGCTGAGGGACTGATTACCTCATCTTTTTTATATAGTTCTTCTGTTTTCTAATTATGTCCAAGAATTTGTATTGATAAAGCCACTGGATGGCGAAACGTTTACATTAAAGATAACCAGATGTTGCACAAGTGTCTTAACTTTCAATAGGGTAGTTGATGAGTGAACAGTCTACCTAGTTGGGTTATTGAGGCTAGGACTTTGGGTAGTTTCAAATTTAGGTTGGATAAGTACATGAGTGGGAGGGGTTGGATTTGAGTGGGACTTGCACATCAGAGCTTATTTCTTGGGTAGCATTGAAAATTGGGTTGGTCAAATGTTTTGTTAGTGGGATGAATTGTAAAGGATCTGCCTAGTATGGGCCAACAGGCCTGCTGCAGTTCCTCCTTTCTTATGTTCTTATGTAAGGGCGAAACGTTGCCATGTAACCTTTTACCTGGTTTAGCGGTTAGTGGATTCGTCTGGTGATCGTCATTCCTTCAATGAAAACATTGTGAAATCTCGGGCTTAAAGCATATTGTCTGCACGAAGGATATTAAGGTTCTATGTCACATGATCACCACCGCCCAAGAATATCTTAAGTAGAAATTAAAGTAAATTCTCGGCATATACGTACTGAGAGACATATACCTCGCGGAGTCAATTATAGGTTGCGGTGTTCACGGTTTCTCTTTGCTGCTTTTGTTTCGACGAAGAAAAATGGAAGTTTTTAGAAATTTACGATTTGTGTAATTTAATTTACTACTAAAATAACGATGAGATTAAGACACATGTGCAACATCTGGGTATCTTTATTGTAGACGTTTCGCCATCCAGTGGCTTTATCAATACAAATTCTAGGACATAACTTGAAGACAGTCTACAATAAAGATACCCAGATGTTGCACATGTGTCTTAATCTCATCTTGTCGGTATTATATACCATTCGTATACTAAAATAACGAAGGAATTAATAAAACACAATGGAGAAATGATTTGCTTGCAATATTAATTTAATGATAGCAGAGATATAAATATTAGGTAATGAGATGATTAACACCCATGATTACTTATACAGGTGTAGTGTTAATTAAATAATAGGCTTAACAATTATGCTGAAAAGACAAGCAATGGGCTTCCAGTAGAGAGCATTTTGTGCTCCTGGCCACTAGAAATCATCGAGGCAGATGGTGCGCACAATGATCTCTGAGACAACGTATGGGTCAGCGTTGGAGGACGGTCTACGGTCCTCCAGGTACCCTTTCTTCTCCTCAGCTACCCCTCGAGGAATACGAATGGAGGAGCTTCTGTTGGCCACACCTGCAGAGAAGTCGTGAATGGAAGAGGTTTCGAGACGACCAGTCAAGCGACGCTCGTTGTCTTTACCTCCACGGGGATCGTAAGCTTGGATGTGCTTGGCATGATTCTTGGAAAGATTGTCCACTGCTCTGTTTATCTCCAAAATTCCATTTGTTTCTCGCATCTTTTTTGTGGAGAAGTTGGAGTGCATTCCAGCCCCATTCCATTCTCCAGGGATGGGCTTGGGGTCCAGGGATACCACAACATTAAAGTCTTCAGCGACACGGTGAAGGAGGTATCTGGCCATCCAGAGGTCGTCACCCATAGTGATGCCTTCACAGGGACCCACCTGGAACTCCCATTGTGCTGGCATTACTTCTGCGTTCTCTCCAGAAATGTTGATACCAGCGTACAGACACGCCCTGTAGTGAGCCTCTACCACATCTCTGCCGAAGACTTTGTTGGCTCCTACGCCACAGTAGTAGGGACCCTGAGGGCCCGGGAAGCCATTCTTTGGCCAACCCAAGGGGTGACTATTTATGTCCAGAAGAGTGTACTCCTGTTCCATTCCAAACCACGGCTCTTGGTCTTCTGCTTTCTTCAGAACCTCCAAGCAAGTCATACGATGGTTTGTATTAGTTGGTGTATTATCATATTTGTAGGTATCACACAGCACTAACTTATTATTTCCAAGTCGGAACGGATCCCGATAAATAGCGACTGGATGAAGGTACACGTCGCTGTTGGTACCTTTAGCTTGGCCCGTCGATGACCCGTCGAAGTTCCAGATTGGTAACTCTGATGAAAATAAACACAAGGAAATAATATAAAGCAACAGACCAGAAAACGTTTACCCATTGTAAACATGGCCGCTTAACCCTATCATAATAATTCAATCAGATAAAGACTTACTGGCTAATGCAATGAAGGTTCTACCTAAAGTTCACCATTTTCAAAAATCAGTCCAGTCAGTTTCTGAAGCAAGTTACCTAATTTTTTTTAATCAGCTGGCCAACTCCCGCCATAGAAAGGTGACCAGGAAAAAGAAATATACATCTTTATTTTTATTTATTAGCTGCCTTGCCAGAAGTGCGCAGACATCACAGTTTAAATGGCCCTCCATCTCTCCTACAGAGTGCAGATGTTGCACTTTTCACCACCTCCGGTTTCCCAGAATCTCCAAACAAATGTTGCCTTTGCTAACACCCCAATAACACGTCACATTATTCAGACCGCTGGCCTACACTTCCATCTAACACGTTCGCACAAGCTTGTATTTGTTTTAAATAACAAAAAAAGGCACAATGCCGTGACTGGAACGATACACAAATAACCAGCACATAGAAGAGAGGAGCTTACGACGATGTTTCGGTCCGACTTGGACCATTTACGAAGTCACACTGACTTTGTAAATAGTCAAGTCGGACCGAAACGTCGTCGTAAGCTCCTCTCTCCTATGTGCGGGCTATTTGCGTATTGTATTTGTTTTCAGTTTTTCTTCTTCTCTTTTTTAGTAAATGTCTACAGGAGAAGGGGTTACTAGCTCATTGCTCCCGGCATTTTAGTCGCCTCATACGACATGCATGGCTTACGGAGGAAAGATTCTTTTCCACTTCCCCATGGACAATAGAAGAAATAAAGAAGAACAAGAACTATTTAGAAAAAGGAGAAAAACCTAGATGTATGTATATATATATATATATGCATGTGCGTGTCTGTGAAGTGTGACCAAAGTGTAAGTAGGAGTAACAAGATATCCCTGTTATCTAGCGTGTTTATGAGACAGAAAAAGAAAACAGCAATCCTACCATCATGCAAAACAGTTACAGGTTTCTGTTTCACAGTCATCTGGCAGGACGGTAGTACTTCCCTGGGTGGTTGCTGTCTACCAACCTACTGGATGAATTTGGTAGGGTGTGCAAAAGAAGAAAATTAAAGGTGAATACAGGAAAGAGTAAGGTTATGAGGATAACAAAAAGATTAGGTGATGAAAGATTGAATATCAGATTGGAGGGAGAGAGTATGGAGGAGGTGAATGTATTCAGATATTTGGGAGTGGACGTGTCAGCGGATGGGTCTATGAAAGATGAGGTGAATCATAGAATTGATGAGGGGAAAAGAATGAGTGGTGCACTTAGGAATCTGTGGAGACAAAGAACTTTGTCCTTGGAGGCAAAGAGGGAATGTATGAGAGTATAGTTTTTACCAACTCTCTTATATGGGTGTGAAGCATGGGTGATGAATGTTGCAGCGAGGAGAAGGCTGGAGGCAGTGGAGATGTCATGTCTGAGGGCAATGTGTGGTGTGAATATAATGCAGAGAATTCGTAGTTTGGAAGTTAGGAGGAGGTGCGGGATTACCAAAACTGTTGTCCAGAGGGCTGAGGAAGGGTTGTTGAGGTGGTTCGGACATGTAGAGAGAATGGAGCGAAACAGAATGACTTCAAGAGTGTATCAGTCTGTAGTGGAAGGAAGGCGGGGTAGGGGTCGGCCTAGGAAAGGTTGGAGGGAGGGGGTAAAGGAGGTTTTGTGTGCGAGGGGCTTGGACTTCCAGCAGGCATGCGTGAGCGTGTTTGATAGGAGTGAATGGAGACAAATGGTTTTTAATACTTGACGTGCTGTTGGAGTGTGAGCAAAGTAACACTTATGAAGGGATTCAGGGAAACCGGCAGGCGGACTTGAGTCTTGGAGATGGGAAGTACAGTGCCTGCACTCTGAAGGAGGGGTGTTAATGTTGCAGTTTAAAAACTGTAGTGTAAAGCACCCTTCTGGCAAGACAGTGATGGAGTGAATGATGGTGAAAGTTTTTCTTTTTCGGGCCACCCTGCCTTGGTGGGAATCGGCCAGTGTGATAATAAATAAAAAAAAAAATTTGTTTTCAGATACTCTATCAGGTTCGGCTGTAGGTCAGTCTTACCTGACACTAAGGAGGCTAGTTCGCAGTCACTGTGCTCAGTTTATTGTTAAAAGAGCGTCTTGACGGGACTTTTTTTGTGTAGTTTAAAAAAAGGTATACGAGTGAGAGTAGTTGGGTGTAAGACCTGCCTAGCATGGGCCATTAGGCCGATTGCAGTACTTCTTTATTATTATGTTCACAAACAAGGCGTTGTCACCCCTCAGTGTTGCAAAGTTTGCGAGTTTTAATTCCTTCAAAATTCCCTTGATATTGGAATTAAAAAGTAAAATTCCGTACCTTGATGCAGTGCCTCGGTTAATTCTACACCCGAGAGGAAGCGAGTCATTAATAATTGTAGTTTAGTTTGCAATCCATAAATTGTTATTTTATTGCGAATTTGGTAAAGTTCATTTAGATTTGTAAAGTTAGTTAAGAAGGCTAATTCAAGTTGGAAACCAAATATGTAATTTACTCTTCGGGACACTAATGAGCAATTAATTTATTGCTCTGATATAAGCTCTATGATCCATACCGGTTTAGATCTTGTTTTCGAATGTAATAATAATAATAATAATAATAATAATAATAATATAATAATAATAATAATAATAATAATAATAATAATAATAATGCTAAGATTAACGTAACCTCTCATTTTAAAATTAAAAGCGTTTTCCCAGCACTTAATCAACCAATCAGCAGCCGGGTGATTGATCCTCCACTTCTTCTACTAAATGATCCACACGAGCATTCATATTTTTATATTGTTGAAGTATATCCGTTTTTTTTGGTAGTACCACACAACGAGACCAAGTTGTTCCGTTTGTAAATAATGAGACGCTTGTGCAACACTTGTATTTCTTGATTGTGGAAACACTTCACCAGCTTTATCAATCCAACACAAATACCCAAGTCCTGCAGAAGTGTCTCATCCGTCCACTTGTTCTGTTTGTGTTGAGAAGTCGCTATGAGCTGTGAGACTCTTCAAAGAGGGAGGGAGGGTGGGGGCGAAAGGTACTTGATTGAAGAAACTGTTGTTACTGTTTCTTTCATCAATCGTGAGTATCTCATATTCGCAGGGCACTGTGAAACCCCTACGAATTTAGCGTATCCCCATGATTGTAATAAATAAATGTATAACTATAATGTGAATTGTAAAGACAAAGATAAGCAACTGATAGAAAACCACAACTTAACCAGACAGTACCGGGGTATCAGCGCTCCACCTCACAGGCAGAGTTTGCTTTGGGTGACTTTTTATCGTCTATTTTCAAACCTTTGAGAAATTATTTAGAATAGCAGCCAACTAGGTAAGACACACGGATGCACTGATCATGACATTTATTATGGAACCGTTTCGCTACGGGATCGAAGAAGCCACTTGTGGCGAAACATCTTGATCTGTGCATAAATATTCTTTACCTATAGCTTGATGGTATCACCATACCAGTTCAACCAAAGACAAAATTCGCATTTCTCAATGATATTATCTGGTGTTTGAGGTGTATATTTAAGTGAACTAGCCGTTGTGTCACTGATGTAAGAACTGCTGCTGCAACTCCTGTAATGATGGTATTTCCAATACAAACTTTAATCTCAAGCTCACGTGGCCTAATTAGACTGACAACACATGCAACGTTAGGATACTTTAATGAGGGTGTGTTTCACCCAGCATAGGCTTCATCAATCCAATTCGTCCCTGGTGTGCGAAACACACCAGGGACGAATTGTCAGTATAATATTCCTTTTCTGATACTGTCGTCTGGTTTCGTCATCAGTTTAACAGTTGTTGTTTTTTCCAGCCACGGTATTGTAAGACGCTGTGTGACTTCGTATTTGAATTCTTGTCACTTTATCAAACATTGTTTGCTGCTTAAGCTGGTTTTACATTTTTTTAAAAATTTCCTAAAATCTCCAAAAAACAGCTATTTTTTTCTTGTATTATTAAACATTGTTTAAAAGTATTCATGCCCTTTGGGTCAGCATAAGCTGTCTTCCCCTTTTGGCATACGAAAAAATGAAATTAGGAAAAAGTTTTTGCAGTGGTTTGGGTTTATTTTTTTTTAAAATAAGTTTTAATATTTTAGTTCATTTACCTTCAGGAACTTAGAGAGGGGGCATTTTTTGCCCCCCTGGGCTTTGGGTGGTGTTGGGGGTGATTTTTTTAATTGGGCCAGCCACCTAGCTTTTAGCTGATAATTTTAAATTAATGGCCTTGCAGCAGCAGGCAGTGGCTTGCTGGCATTGTTTTTCCCTGCACCCTTTTTCAATTTCCCTTTTTGTTGGGGGGGGGGGTTAGCTTGTAATGCGTAGTCATTTTCCTGTTAGCGGGTTTGGTGACTGACGCTGTTAAATTTACTTGATCCCAATCTTTCTTGATGCATAACAAGAGTTTATCTTGTTGTTCTAAAAAGGTTTTTTGGGGGTCATTTTTTTTTAGTGTACCCTAAGCTGTGTTTTGGAGGGGGAAGTGCTTTTTAAACCCCCAGGTAGCCCTGGAAAACTTTTTTTTCAGTCTAGGTTTTTTTGGCTAACATGTAGTTTAATGTATTCCATGAAGATTTCAAGATAGGGGTGAAATTTAAAACCCAGGCCTGGGGTTTCCCAAGTGTATCTGAGGGGAACTGGAGAGGAACGCAAAGTACTTTTAAAAAACCCAAATAGCTTTTTTTATTCTGATGAAAAATTATGATTGGTTCAAGCCCGGGATTTGTCACTAACTCGGTTCGAAAAGTACTAAGTAGTGCTTCCACCCCACTACACAGTATTTTTAAAGGACTTCAGCTGCTAAAAACGCTTGTCGGGTTTTTCCCTAAAACAAATAAATTAAAAAATACACTACACGTTGGGGCCCTTTCAGTTTAGGAAAAGTTTCTTTTATGTGTGGCATTTCAGACGGGCAGGGGAATTTCCCCTTTTTCCCGGATTTAAACGCCAGGTAGAGGTGCATCGTGCATCCCCCAAAAGGTTCTTTTGCCAGTATTTTTAGAGAAACAAAACAAAATGAAAAGATAACGTGACCCCAATTTTTTGCCAGAGAGAGATTTTATCGGAATTGTGGTTTTCCCATCCCCAGGGTTCCCTAAGAAAAAACACCCTGACGCCCAAATTTATTTTTAACGCGCTCTTACCGTAAGACGAAAAAAGGGCTAGTTTTATTTACGGCTAGTCAGGAAAAGCCGGGGCCCAAGCATGACAAAAAATTGTTCTCTACGATTGTAAACATTACAAGAAAATTTAAAGGGCCCAATGGAGTTTAATTTTAAATTTAAAGGAGTCAGCGAGGGGCGATAAATTAAGGGAAAATGGGGTTTAAAGGAATAATAAACAAGGGGGCAAGTAAAAACGGCTGGAAGAGTTTTAAAAGAAGATACTATTTAAAACGAATTGGGAAAAAAGATTAATTTTTTTTCATGCATAAATTTAAAAATAAAACTTAATTTTAAAAAGGGTTTTTAAAAAAATAGGTTAGGGTGCACAATTTTAATAGTTGGGGTTAAAAAAAAAGGGACCTAAACCCGGAATAGGTAGGTCCTATATTATTTTAAAAATTAAATAAAAGCGGATTTGGCTATTTCAAAAAACATTGAAAAAACTACAAATGTTTTTTATAATAAAATATTTTGAAAGTAGTTTTGACTACCACGATTGGAATAGTTTTTCAACTTACACTTGGGGAAAGGAAAAAATATAGATGGCGTTTTGGTCTGTCCTGACTATTATCAGGTCCCCAGCTTTTTGAAAATTAAAAATTTGGCTAAGACTTGGGGCCCCCCCGTCATCTAGGTTTTTGCTCCAAAGAATATGTTAAAAATTTGAACTGACGACGTATAGGGAAAAGGAAAATTTCCCCTTTAAAATTTTTAAAAAAAAAAATACTTTTTTTGTGCCCTTTGTGAAGTTCGTTTATCACAAATTAACCCAAAAACGGGGCTTAAGTAGACTTCATAACAAAGTGTTAAGCTCGCTAAAGTTTCCCTCACCGGGTTCACCTTACAGATGTTTAGAGATTCTAAGACATTTTCCATCAGATATAAAAAATATGTGTCCGAATCATTCTTTACATAAATTGTAAATATGAGATCTGCCATGAAGAGTGAATTCAACGAGTTATGTTTCCTTTAAGAAAAAATTGCCCAAATTACTGTTTATGAAAGGTTATTCTCTATCAACGAGTTACCCTGAGGCTAACTCAGCTTTATTTCTGTTTTTGACGTTTCTAATGATGACTGCATATGTAGAGCGTTTTTTCTCAAAACTTTGAATAATGAAAAGTCATTTGTGAAGCCTACATAAACTGGCACTTCTCTCAGTTGCAAAAGCTATCTCTACTCACTCGAAATCATTGATCAGTTTGCAGAAATGAAAGCAAGGATTTTTTTGAGAGCAGTTTTCTCATACAGTATTAATGCATTTTACTTTAGGGTTACACTCAGGTCATCTCGCCTAGGCTTGTCGGCAAACAAAAATTTGGTTTGAGCACTGGGTAAGTATTAACGGAATAAAATACCAACAGGTTGTTAGGTAAGACATATGTGCAGCAGTTAGGTATCATTATTTCGAAAAGTTTCGCCTACACAGTAGGCGATATATATATATATATATATATATAATATATATATATATATATATATAATATATATATATATATATATATATATATATATATATATATATATATATATATATATATTATATATATACCTATTTCATAAATTTTGGATATGAAATATGTAATGATTTAAAATACCCAAGAAATGTAATTGATAAATCTTTTAAAGTTGCTAGAAATACTTTTTACAATCCAAAAAGGGACAACCAGCCTTATTCAACTAAAAATATGAAGAATTGAGACACTTATGCAACACATGGGAATCTTTATTGAAGAAACGTTTCGCCACACAGGGGCTTCATCAGTCCAATACAAAGTAGAAATGGTGATGGACTGAACACATCGATTCCAGGTTGAGGGACTGATTACCTCGAACTTCTACTCCACTTACCCATTTCTACTTTGTATTGGACTGATGAAGCCCCTGTGTGGCGAAACGTTTCTTCAATAAAGATTCCCATGTGTTGCATAAGTGTCTCAATTCTTCAACTTGTCGGTTTTCAAAACCATTCATCACAACTAAAAATATGTTGGTTCTCCCTTACCATGAAAACTTGGTTGATATGCCTTCTCTTCTTAAGACTTTTAATATTAAAGTTGTATTCAAAAATCTTGATACGGTAAAAAAAACTTTTGATAAAGAATTCCCCCCAAAATGCTGATGGATGTGTCTATAAGATTCCTTGTAAAATTTGCGATAAAGTTTATTACGGTCAAACTGGTAAAAATCTCGAACTAAGATTAAAACAACATAAATATAGCATTAGAACTGGACAAGATTCCAATGCTCTATTTATTCATGTAAGAGATTTTAACCATCCAATTGATTTTCAAAAAGTTGAGAAAGTAGTATCAAGCAAGTCCATGGTTGACAGGAATATAATTGAATCTTGTTTCATAAAAAGCAGTTTTGACAATAATATGAATATTTCCTTTGGTTTATATAAATTAGATCCATTTATAATTAATAGAATTTGGGAAGAATTTAATAATAATACACTGGACAAATAATTTTTAAATTTTCTTGGGTAGAATAGTTTGTGGGTGAGTTGTGCAAAGGACCTACCCCAAGTTGGGTCGGCGCGCGTCAGGTGTTTAACCGTTGTGGGATCTGATAGTGAGGTGCTGGCCAGATCCCTTATATAGCTTCCTTGGATGCTTTACTTTCATAGTTCCTTGATAATGTGAGTAGTCACGAAAGCGCTTGGAATTTCTCTATTCTTTCAGAGTGGTTGTTTTGCATATTTTGAAATCACCTGTTCACTGTGATCTTATTGCATATATATATATATATATATATATATATATTATATATATATATATATATATATATATATATATTTATATATATATATATATATATATTTCAGTACTCGACTGAAGAAGCCTACTGTGTAGGCGAAACGTTTCGAAATAAAGATACCTAACTGTTGCATATGTAACTAGAGAAGCCTTACCACTAGGGTCTTTGGGCACGAAGTCGAGTGTCCTGGTCTTGGAGCGGAGGTTCTCGCCTGTACCGTCCACCCACACGTACATCACTTGGCACTTGTCATCAGGCATAGGCAGCTTCATATAGCGGTCCATCACCGTCTTGTTGGTGGTGCCAGCGCTCAGTGAGCTTTCCATGTTTCCTCTCTGCTGAGGTAATACTGTGTCGTTATTACAACTATGACATTTTATTAATTAATAGTATCTTCAGCGAAAACATATACTGTTGAACTTATATACAAAATACCACATAGATTATGTTATCTATTACCCCAAAAAAATCTATATAGGCTTTCTCAAGGCTACAGGAAAATTGTTATGAATGTTTTACAGTGGTTCCTTGATGCTAGTGAAGAGCTTTTGATCCTAAGAATTAGAGTTACCCTTCTTCCACATCGCTACTTGAGTTAAATGACCCACACAGGTTTAGTGTTTTACATAACGTATAATATGCTGATTTTCAGACACTTGTCTAATTCCATAGTTTACCTGGAGTCTCTTCCGGAGGTCACCGCCCCCACGGCCCGGTCCAAGACCAGGCCTTCTGGTTGCTGGCCTGATAGATCAGGGTGTTAGTACCCGCCGCCCATAGTCCAACCTATACACCAAAACCCGACTTATCAGGAACTGTTTTGAGGAATCTATTGAGGTCCTTCTCGAATACAGCTAAGAGGGTTTGCTAGTAATTCCTCTTTTGCATGAAGGGAAGGTGTTAAGTCGTAATCACCTAACACTTATTGAGCTCTTTCATGTGCTTGTCGCCCTCGTTGGCTACTCAGCCAGTTTCACTGTAGCTGAAATATTTCATATATTTTCGGTCGGTTCAAGATTGATACTTTGATGCTAGTGAAAAGATTTTGACACAAGGAATTAGAACTACCCTCCTCTTTCTAGGTTCAAGCCTGATTACTCTCAACCTTCCTATTTCCCGGGCGCTGTATAACCCTGACGCGTTTAGCGCTTCCTCGTGAATATAATATTAATTTTGTTGCCTATTCTTTGCAACTTATCCAGTTCGTCCCTTTACTCTAACTCAGGTAGAGTGATTGAAGTGCGGTTGTCTACCTTGTCCCTACCTGACCAGACCTCCCCTCTGCTCCGTCCTTGATGGGTTTTTTTTGTCAGCTGTGTTGTGAAGTCTGGACCTGTCGCAGAGTCTCCTCTCCCTTTGTCACCCCTCCAAAAACGCCACTAACTTCACTAACCTTCACTAACCTTGCTTGTTTATTCTTTACGGGGGAAGGGGTGTAATACCTGACACGGATCTTGATAGCAAGAGGACCCGATCAGATGTGCTGACACCATGGCGGGTGCATTACAAGATGGTGTGTCTGGCGACACGTGAAGTTGGACTAGCCGATGGTTCAACGGTGGTTCAGTAGTGACGTCGTTCCCAGTTAGTTAATTCATGATGAGTATCACCTGACGTAGGTCTTTATCAGGTGAGGATCCGGTAAATGACTTCAATGTCATGGGGGTTCGATAACGTGGATGGGGTAAAAACACTCACGTAGGCTGGTTAGTACGTATAATTATAACGGAAAGTATGGGTAGCACCATCAGCCGCCCTGCCTCTCTGCTCTCTATCTTCAGACTGACCGCTGAGTGCCTCGGAGGGTAGCGGCATTCAAAACATGCTAGGTCAGCTGAACAGTGAATAACAAGTGATTCACACAGACGGTTGGTAGTGAGTCATACTACTGGTAACTGGTTACTGGTACTACTGGGAACTGATTCTACTGAGATCAAGAGTTTCCTGAAGATTTTGTAGTGATGTTTGATTAGTTGTGGCTTTGATATCACAAGATCACCTCACACGAACTTAAATATGGTGTGCCCTCAGTCGGCGGTGGTGATGGCGTCCCTCTATGTAGTAGAGGCACTCGTCTGCGCTATTAGTCGGAAGCCGTTCAATCGGCTCTAATGCACAACACTCCTAACAAGAATCTTAGTCCTGTCTTTGTTACTGTTAATTCTTGCCTTCTCTCTTACCTTCAGAACACACGTGGCTTGACCTGACCTTGGCCTTCTCACAACTTCTGACCTATCGTCTGAATTTTTTCCTCATCTCCTAACCCGTTGTTTGGAGCTTTTGTCACCTGACTATTTTTTTTAGGCTTTCTCATTACCTTTTCACCTAATCACGTGGTGATAACTGATGGACCAAAACGTCGTCTAAATTTTCCTCTACAAACTGTGGTTTAATCGCGAGTCAGTTTATTACCTCAAGTGAAATGTAAATAATTTCCCTTAAGGATGCCTTTTTTCTATTATCTTTTTCCACCAACTCTGCTCATTTTCTTACTTTTCGAAACGCTTTGTTTTCTATATTTCTCTTTGATTAAATAAACTGACTCTTTAAAATATGTTCATAATAGTTATCGGTTGTGTGAAAGACAGTTTACCTGTTATCAGTTGTGGCGAGAAGCAGCCTCTACAAGCATCTTGTAAACTGATACAAACATGTAATGTATACCACGAAGATTTTGTAAACCGTACGAAATATGATTTATACCACGAGGATCTTGTAAACTGTACCAAACATATGATTTATACCACGAGGATCTTGTAAACTGTACCAAACATATGACTTATACCACGAGGATCTTGTAAACTGTACCAAACATATGATTTATGCCACGAGGATCTTGTAAACTGTACCAACCATGATTTGTACCACGAGAATCTTGTAATCTGTACCAGACATATGGTTTATACCACGAAGATCTTGTAAACTGTACCAGTCAGGTCGGGCAAGGTTTCATAACTTATGAAAAAAAAAAACGCTTAACTTAGGGGCTCGCTCTAAGGGCGACCCCCTAACTGGCGAGGCCCCAGTTAAGAAGCGCTCGTAAACTGAACCAAAAATATACTACAATGGCTTCCCAGTGCTTGTCTAAATGGATAGGCCACGCAAAAGTCACGTGTTAGTGCCCTTGCTTGTGGTGGTAACAATCCCAGCTGGCGAGGCTACTGGGAGGAGCAACTTTCTGCTGGTGGTGGTAACATACCCAGCTCGCGAGGCTACTGGGAGGAGCAGCTCTCCCCAGCAATGATGGAGACAGACAGACTAGCTAGTTGGAGAATGTCAAGGTTGTGCAACGGGAGAGGCAGTGATGTCCTTGTATGAGCAAATTCACCACTAAAAGTCTCATTAATGAAAAAAGGAGTTTGCGGTGGTGGTGGTTTATTCGTCAAGAAACAGCACAGTGCCTACAAACACGGGTCTCTTTGAAATAATAACGAGATAGGTGGTTAAGCATTCATTAGCTTACCAGAAATGAAGTTTCACACCTCGTCTTAGATGACGATATCCTGAATACAATTACAAATTTAATTATTAGTTTTTGTTAACTGGGTTAAAAATTAATTTAAAAATTGAATAGATTTTTTTACATAATTTTTAATGACATATTAAACACTTGTATAATTTTTAATTATTTACATTTTACATCATACTGAATCATTTATGAAAAGGAAGTGCCTAGCATGGGTCAGTAGTACGAGCTGCCTAGCATGGGTCACTAGTGCGAAAGTAGATATTAGGAGCTACCTAGCATGGGTCACTAGTGCGAAAGTAGATGGTAGGAGCTGCCTAGCATGGGTCACTAGTGCGAAAGTAGATGGTAGGAGCTGCCTAGCATGGTCACTAGTGCGAAAGTAGATGGTAGGAGCTGCCTAGCATGGGCCAGTAGTGCAGCAATAGATGGTATGAGCTGCCTAGCATGGGTCAGTAGTGCAACAATAGATGGTACGAGCTGCCTAGCATGGGTCAGTAGTGCAACAATAGATGGTACGAGCTGCCTAGCATGGGTCAGTAGTGCAACAATAGATGGTACGAGCTGCCTAACATGGGTCAGTAGTGCAACAATAGATGGTATGAGCTCCCTAGCATGGGTCAGTAGTGCAACAGTAGATGGTATGAGCTCCCTAGCATGGGTCAGTAGTGCAACAGTAGATGGTATGAGCTCCCTAGCATGGGTCAGTAGTGGTGCAACAATAGATGGTATGAGCTGCCTAGCATGGGTCAGTAGTGCAACAATAGATGGTATGAGCTCCCTAGCATGGGTCAGTAGTGTAACAATAGATGGTATGAGCTGCCTAGCATGGGTCAGTAGTGCAACAATAGATGGTATGAGCTGCCTAGCATGGGTCAGTACACAAGAACACAAGAAAGGAACACCGCAGCAGGCCCACTGGCCCACACGAGGCAGGTCCAAGTCTCCCACCGGCCCAAGCCAATGCCCCAACCTAGTCAGGTCAGGTCACATTCACTTAAGGAAGGAACACAGCAACTGGCCTAGTAGCACAAGCTAGTCAGGTCCAACTCACACCCACCCACACCCACTCATGTATTTATCTAACCTATTTTTAAAACTACACAACGTTTTAGCCTCTATAACTGTACTCGGGAGTTTGTTCCACTCATCCACAACTCTATTACCAAACCAGTGCTTTCCTATATCCTTCCTGAATCTGATTTTTTCCAACTTAAAACCATTGCTACGAATCCTGTCTAGGTTAGATGCTTTCAGCACGTTATTTACATCCCCTTTATTTATTCCCGTCTTCCATTTATACACCTCAATCATATCTTCCCTAATTCTACGCCTTTCTAGAGAGTGCAGATTCAGGGCCCTCAGTCTATCCTCATAGGGAAGATTTCTGAAACATGGGCTCAACTTTGTCATCCTCCTTTGTATGCTTTCCAGAGCATTTATATCCATTCTGTAATACGGTGACCAAAACTGTGCAGCATAATCTAAATGAGGCCTAACCAAGGATATATAGAGTTGAAGAACAACCTGAGGACTCCTATTATTTATGCTTCTTGATATGAAGCCAAGGATTCTGTTAGCTTTATTGCGAGCACTTATGCACTGTTGTCTTGGTCTCAGATTACTGCTAACCAGAACTCCTAAATCTTTTTCGCAATCCGTAATATTAAGATCTACATTATTTAGTTTATATGTGGCATGGTTATTTTCCTGTCCAACATATAGAACTTTGCATTTGTCTATATTAAACTGCATCTGCCATTTCTCCGACCACTGCATCAGTCTATTCAAATCTTCCTGGAGTGCTCTAATGTCCTCGTCAGAATGAATTCGACTGCCTATTTTGGTGTCATCGGCAAACTTGCTTATGTCGCTCTTTATGCCCTCATCTATGTCGTCTATGTAGATTGTGAATAACAAGGGGCCCAACACTGAGTGCAACAATAGATTGTATGAGCTCCCTAGCATGGGTCAGTAGTGCAACAATAGATGGTATGAGCTCCCTAGCATGGGTCAGTAGTGCAACAATAGATGGTATGAGCTCTAGCATGGCAATATAAACACAAATGCAGTATAATGTGATCCTTTATTGACTACGTTTCGCCCACACAGTGGGCTTTTTCAAGTCACAGACAGCTCTAGCATGGTTCAGTAGTGCAACAATAGATGGTATGAGAAAATTGACGATATGTAGATGATCAAGACACAAAAGTAGTGATTAGAAATTTCATTCAGAGCTTAACAGAACCCCGGAGACATTGCTAGAAAACACCGGAGATAGTGGAAAAAATGTCGAAGATATTAGTCAAAAAAACCGAAGACTCTTAAATAAAATTACAATGAAACTAAGAGAATCTCGAAAACATTGTTAAGAAATCCCAGAGACATATAGACAGGAATATAATTCAAATTACGTTGTTTACAGCGGTTTTATACAGGTATTTGAGAAATGTGATCATGGAATGACAGTTCATAAACTAAACATTAAAGAAATAACGGATGTAACAAGATACTGGGTATCTTGTTACATCCGAAGGTACGGCGAGTACGCCCACACAGAACTCTGTTTACAGCGTAGCAGACCACACTTCACGATGCACTTCTCGAACAGGGTAAAAATCAAACCAGAGAGTGGGACAGTCAATGACTCGTCCAAGCTAGCACGTGCAGCTGTCGTCAGTGGCAGACTGCAAGTCAAGTTTAATGCGATTCTGTCGCTCAAAGAGGCCTTCGTTGTCGTCTGTACTGACGACACCGAGGCTGAAAAACTCATTACCACCACTGCTACAACCACTCTACGAGATCAGGGATTTATTGTCTTGACTTCCCCAGCTCTGAGGGCCAGGAGAACTGTGTTCCTCAAGAGACTCGACAGGCTCATCACTGCCCAGGCTACCGAAGAAATCAAGTCGTCCATCGAAGCACAGAACCCTTGGGCCAAGGTGGAATTCATTACCAAAATACCCAATGCCTCCTCCATGCTGAAGGTCACCTTCAGTGACGTCAACATAGCAGCCAGAGCTCTCGCTGAGGGACTGGCTATTCACAACTTCCACATCAATCCAGCCTTTATCGAAGCGGAAACATTCCATCAAATTCCAGTGTTCCAACTGTTACTCATACCTACATACCACCAAAGACTGCCCTGCCAAGAATAAGAAGTTCTGCTCCACCTGCGGTCAAGAAGGTCATGACTTCAAGACGTGCACTACTGACTCTCCACCTAAATGCTTGAACTGCAA